GTTTCGGGGTGTTAGGAGAAGTATCAAGATAAAGATCTAAATTTTGAGTGTAGCAAGCAATGAGAGTGGTCGATTTAGAATCTTTGTGTACAAGGGCTAAAGCGGACATTTTTAGATTTAAAATTTGCTGGGTGGTCAATGAAAGTTTTGGTGAAGTTTGGGTTTCTTAGGAGTGGTGTCATGATTGAACTCTAAGATTTTGAAATTAGTAGATAACAAGAGTAATGATTTGGAATCTTTCTAAATGAGAGGTAAATGAGTGTTTTTGGGTCTAATTCGATGTGTGGTCAATCAAGTGTCTAATGAAAGCTTTGGTGAGGTTTGGGTGTATTGAGAAAGGTATTGTGATGGAGATCTAAGATTTTGAGAGTAATGTGTAATGGGAGTGGTTAATTTAGAATCTTTCTATATGAAGGGCAAAATGGACATTTTTAGGTTTGAAATTTGGTGGATGGGTATCTTAGGATCTTTAGAGTCTAATAGGAATATCTTTTAGAGCTGTGAGAATCATGAGAATCTAAGTTATGGGTATTTTGGATGATGAGGGGGCTTAGAATGGAATTTCAGTTTGATGGATGGGTAAATGAGGGGTTTTAGGTTGAAACTTAGTATAGTGTAATGGATTTGAATTACAAATCTGTTGGAAGGGTTTGATCGTGCTTGGGACATGTGAGTTATAGGTTTTAGGCTCGAAAAGAGTCATAATAGCAGATGCATTGAAATGAAATATCTGATGGATAAATAACAAAATCAAGGAACCTATGGCTGAAATTTAGTGTGGTCGGTTGTTCAAAGGTTTTGTTTCATGTGATAAAGTCTGATCGTGTTGTGGGTATGGTGGTGTGGCACAATCATGACCACTGGAAAGGAATCTTATAGATTTAATGGTATATTTAAGGGTATTTGAGTTGAGATTTGGATTCCCAGGGTTTTGGTATGTTTTGAAGAGATTGGTGAATTCCGATCATGCATTCAAAGTGTGAGAAGTGGGTTAGAGAGGGGGCCAAGCAAAAATCGGGTGTTAACACCCCCCCCTTTTTGTT